TAGAATTTTCACCCCTAGAACCTACTTTCTGAGGCCAAATACTTGTTACTGCCAACAACGAAGCTCGCAATATCCAATCTTTCCGTCTCAAGCCCGGGATCAGTCTTCCACCCCTGTAGCCCGAAATGAGACGAAATACAAGAAGATATTGGACGCAGCAGACTTTGCCAGACGTGAGAATTGTTCCTTCATAAGGCTTAATGATGCCTTCAGGAAAACTTTGCTCAAGGCATCCGAAAAAAACTTTAAAAGGCAACCCACTATGAGAACCGAGTGCAGTCTAATACGCGCGCTGATTTTAAACTGACGTGCAGAGAGAATTATGGGAAGTTATGAAAAGATTTTTTGGGGGGGTGAGGGGGTGGGGGAGGTAGATTAATACCAGTGAGAAACTCATCAAAGTCTAATTACTGCAGCCTATTCAGTAAATAATCGGTACAATTTAAATAAATAAAAAGTAACTATGAAAAAATTATATATGCCCCACTACAAGACTCAGTCAGAAGGTATAAGAGAGAGATTTATATAGCCATGTTTTTGCAAATCCAGTCAGATAATTCATGTGTAACAACAAGGAGCATCTAATTTCGTCATAGATCGCTTAAAAGTCTTTTACTGAGGTGTATTCTGTACGGTAACGTGCTACACAAGCTCTTTCGAGTCAGAAAGATCGCTTAAAAGTCGGGCGCAGCCCGGCTCCAGGCCAGAGTCTGGTGTCCGAAAAAATACGGGGCTTGCCGTCTTGGTCGGTACAGCTGGATAGCCCATGTGCTGTCCTAACAGTGGGTGGGTGGATGAGGCTTGGGAGCCAAAACTAGCGGGGTAGGGAGGGGGCTGTTTTGACACAACCCCTTCAGTAAGCAGCGGTGTTCAGTAGAAGCTTTGACTGGCGAGTACCTTGTTCTTAATTTGCTATAGCCAGCTGCATCAGGCCTCTGCTGAGAATGATTATCATGATAATTGTAGAGCTCAGTGGATAGATTTAGAGACTTGACAAAACTATCAGGAGAGAAAGCTTTAATGTCTGTAAGGCACGAGGTTCAAGTACAGAGTGACGCTCTTGTGCAAAACGTATACTTGTTAATACCGCGCATCAAGTCCGACAACGCACCGTGATTGGTTGAAGATGGATAACTATTATTTCGGCGGCGAGTTCATAGCAACATCGTCTTCTTTTCAGGGATTAAGAAACCATTCCTAGTTTCGTCCGACTTGTAAACTTTGATTAGCAACTCGCAGAATTAACACTAACAGGCACCGAAACAACCTTAGCACTGGACAAATTCTTATACCAACCACCGCGGTTGTCCGAAATAGTTGCGTTGTACTCTTAAAACGTGACCTGTCTTTTTTCTACTGGCAAACTCTTAAAGAGCAAAGTCAGTTTAATTAACCTGTGTCATAAACAACTTAAGTACCTAATTAAAACAAGAGTTCCACTGTTCTTTTCCAGGATGGAACCAACTGGTTCCACAGTTCATATTGGTAAAACTACCACGGTTAAGGTACTAAGATTTATAATCTTAACTCACTCCGAGGTACTCAGGGCCGTCAAAAAGTTCATCCTGGGAAAGGGATGCTTTACAATTTTATTCGATGGTGCTTACTTTTTGTTCGCAGGTATGGTAGAAGGAGATAACAGTACCCGCCTGAGGATAGCTAACTAGCCGGCGGTTTTTGCCGGCTACCGGCCCTTATTGACAGCCCTGCGTACTATTAGTTTTATGAAAGATTGTCAGACTATGACATAACGCAAGCTCAACTTGTACTTAAAATAACTAGAGTAAGTCTTTCAGGACGATTAACTAGAACAAAAGTCATTCATAACTACGAGGTAAAAGTAATTAAGTTGACCAAGTTAACCAAAGTCAACGCAACGTTAACAAAAGGACGGGTCTTAGCACATTACAAGTTTCTTGTGAGAACTTTTTCGTACGTGCTTATTCCTAAAAAATATTTTGGTTGATTGAGTGTTGCGTAGTGACAATCTGACAATCGTGTGTGTCTAAAAGGTCTTCGAGAACAGATCACGTTTTTTAAGGCGTTATCAACCTAACTCCCCAGTAAATATTGTAAATGTAATTCACGCTTTCACTCTAAATGGTTCAAACAATTCAAAATTCAAATTTCACTCCAAAAAGGTTCACGCAGCTGAAAATTCCGAATAACACGCAATAAATTCACACACCAAATGTTCATTAAATATTTCCTAAAATGTTTGCCAACAGAGTTTCATGCTTCATCGGAAGCAATCATCAGGCAACTGCCAGAAAAACGGTTACAACCCTGCCTCCTCCACAGGCTTTCCCAAGGCTAAGTGCGATTGGGGAACTCGCGAGCACGCGAGAAGCGCGAGAGAGGGATGATGGGAACGAGCGTACGGCGCTAGCAGGGAGTGATGGGAAGGAAAAGGAGAGAGAGGGGAAAGTCGCTTCGCTTTTTCTCCCCTTCCCATCACTCCCTTCGTGCCCTCTTTCCTTAATCATTAACTCAAATATCCCCTAGTGACCGCGAACGATTGGGGACGAGGCAGGTTACAATCGCAGATGTATGAAAATTTGAAAAAGATGATACTGGGTGTGGCGCGTGGTGCGTCTGACGGGATGCTACGGTTGATAAGGAAAATGACATTTTTCAACAAAAATTTTCTAGAATGTCTACAGCACGATGTAAGCATATACATGTATATATCTGCATATATAAAGACAAAAACAGCAGCTTTGTACGCTCTGCACGTGCGTTTTGCACATCAGTACATCTTGTTGTTTCCTGCAAAACGACAACGTGAAATGGCCAAATTTAACGTTTTATGACGAACCTCAGTACACGAGGTTTTCTCCCGCCAAGCAAATGCCGTCAATACCAGTTTCATTCTTGGGCAAGTGGCACTGCTTTGAATTACTTGAAGGTCGAAATGCTCGCGAAGAGATCATTACTACTAATAAAATTTTAAGATGACGTTATCGCTTCGATTGCCGTTTTCGTTGATTAAATTCTCTACTATCGATAATCAGAGAAATGGAGCTTTGAATCGCTATCCTGATAAAAACCAACACCGTATATCCTTCCGGCGTGGTCATATCAAAAGATTAATGAAAGAAACTCTTCTTGAATGATATTTTACTTATCCTGCAATCCACGCAAAGCATCCGAAAAAAAAATTAATAACCCTAAGAAAAGATTTCAGAATAACAAACGATGATTATATATTCCCCAACTTAGGCAAAAATGTTTAAAACTCCCCTGTAACATAAAAGACTTTCACGAAGCTTTAAACAATGCATGCTCCTCGCTGAATTTCCAGCTTCTGTTTTTTTTTTTAAGTGTCATCCGAGCCTTCCTTGGTGTCGGCAATCAAGTAAATAGTTTAATTGCTGCAATTGTCCAAATCCGTAGTTCGCTGGCAGCCCAGGGGCTAGTGTGGCTGCTCTTGCTACTGCCTTCATTGTTTTCCATACTTGATTCACCCAAGATGCTTGAGCCTCTTCAGTTTGTTTCTGAAAGAACTGACGAGTCTTCTCGCTTTTCTCGATATTTTTCCCACGGATCGAACCCAGGCTTTCCAAAACGAATGATTTTGACTGCTTCATCCCTTGTTTTCTGCAAAGCACTTACGCGATCTTTCCAGCCAGGTTTTCCTTGTGATTTCTCAGATTCTATGAGCAAATCCAAGTAGTCCACTTGTTCTAGTGGATCCTTTTTGAGGGCAATCCAGCTTGTATCAAATTTCCGCGGTGCTATTACGGGTATTTGTGGATCACTAGGATCACTGGGGTTGCTGTCTCCTTTACTACCACAAATCGCGGTAACGCTGAAATTGTACGGTACTCCTGCTTGAAGACCCTTGATTGTGCAAGTCAGCGACGCATCTTCTGTGTAGTGCAGGAATTGTTCCATCTGTTGGGAATTGAAGATCCATTCAATCTTGTACTTTTCAATATTAACTCCCTGTCCAATATTTTTGGGTTTGGTGAATGCAATGGTTATGGTGTCAGTCGTTGCAGCTGCGAAGGTTGGCTTACCAGGCGGACTTGTTGGTTTGGTAGTTGCATACAAAGTATCACTGTATTGGCTAACCGCAATCTGCCCCACAGCGCATACTCGCACCAGATAGCTGGTAGCTGGTTGAAGATCAGATATGGTAGCAGTTTTCCTAGCTTCATTTCCACACGGTGTGCACTGAGTGATCCAGTCGGAGTTGGCTTCATTTTTTTTGCACTGAACTTTGTACTTTTTAATTTTGTTCTCGCTCCAGTGCGGATCATTCCACCGAAGCTCGATTGAATCGTCTCGCGCGCTCTTTGCTTCTAGGTTTTCTGGCTTTGGTGATAGCTTAAAACCATCATTTTCTAGTTCGCCCTCCTCGTACAGATAGATGAAGGCTCCCGGGTTTCCACTGAAATTGTCAGACAGACACTCCTCTGTGGCGAAAAATTTCACTTTTTTGTGATCTTCATTTGCAGATTTCAGTTCTGAGAACTGTTTTAGTGTCTGGCGGATACTTTTATTTACATTTTTGTCATCAGTACCCGATGATGCCTTTCTCTTCAACTCTGGCAGAACTTTTCCTGTGAGGTAGGCATCCATACTCAAAATCTGAGGATCGTCTTCCTTTCCAATCTTAAATGTACAGCACACAACGTGCTCATTGCTTAGGTCGAATGCTTCATTTTCTACATCTTCAGGGCTAACAAAAGGAGTGTCTCCCAAGGAACCGATAATACTTTGCAATCTCTTCATCTCTTTCTCTTTTTCCACGATCCAAGCATCAATGCGAGTTTGTGCGAAGGGGGAACGCTCTTTTTCTTCAAAGATATCGCCAAGTTCTGATTCTTCTGCTCCGCCTCCTCTTATGCTGGGAAGCAAAGGCAACAACTTCTTCTGGAGAAAGATCTTGTAGCGCGAGATATTACTTTTGAAACTTGATAACTGCTTCTTGACTCGAGAGAAAGACGAACAAACATCCTCTCTCATTAACTCGCTGCACTTAGACTCGATAC